CGATTTAAAATATCGCTGAAAAAAGGAGAATAAAAACGAGGAAGAAAAATCACCGACGGATATTCCTCGCTGACTGGCGTTTTCCTCGATTCCCCTGTATCCTCCTATTTTCTGATTCTCGGCTCGGTTAGCAGGCGCGTTCAAGGTCGATTAATAAATCTTCATCGGTGGGGAACGGGACCGGGTAGCTGGCGCGATCAGTTCTGGCTGAGGCTGTCAACGTTAACAATAACAAACGCCCGATACGGGGCCATAACCCTGCGCTTGCTCGTCGATGGACGTCCGCGTTTTCACAGACGCTTTCAGCGTTTCACCCGTCAGTATGCATAACCTATTTTTTCGCGTTTCTATGCCGTCACGTGAACCGAATAATGAAAGCTATCGAACAGGCTGAATCTTTTAGCCAACGTAGTTCGATCTGGCCGTACATACGCGATGCGCCTCCGTTTCTCCCCGACGTGTTACGTAACACGACTATACGAATGCGCGCAGTCGAAACCCCTGCCATTTAACCTTTATCCTGTCGTTTGAATGGGGAATCACCGCTGCCAAATAGCGACGATATACCTGACTGCATTGTTTCGCTAATGTCCCATCACGACACACGACAGTCTCCCGAGGATTCTACGTACGTACGTACATATTCCAAGAGTTAGGATTGCTACTGGAGCTTATTAGAGTAAATGGCTGATTTCTTTTCGGTAAAACGGTAATGAACCGTGATAAATTAAGATCGTTTAATCGAATTATCGTCGAGCTGACGGAATAGTTTGTACGGTTAGTTAACGTTCTTGCGTACCAACTTCGATAGTTTAGTTTTACATGGTTTACATTAACAACGAATGTACGAAATTGCTATTTCGATAAATAAGCTTCTCCCTTGCTTATTAAGTTATTCCTCGTCCGTGAACCCTGGACCCTATCTCATCCATTGATCATCAAAGTTACCCTCTACTTTTCGATTCTCCGACCTTACGTCCTGTACTTTCAGCCCTCGGTATATCCTCCAACTGTCTTCGAAACTTCTGTTGGACGTTTATATTTTGCAGTTTATTAAATGTAACAAATGGAAGCCTCACGGATAACGACAGTTCGGCTCACTTTGGTTCAGAAACAATCATCGAGAACGAGTTTCTGCGTTTCGTTTAAACTCTGATCTTCGATCTTTGGCTTAACGCGGGAAGAACGAGAACGAGACGGAGTTGACAAATACGCATTCGTTATTCAACGAATCGTTTCGGTCGATTCTTTTGACGCTGTTGAACCGCGACTGGCTTTGGTCGTGATTGCATTCGACCTCGCGTGGGACACATGGGTCGAGGAAGGTTGGCACGGGAAGGGCGGAGGTGAAGAATGATGTAATCGATGCACAAGGGTAGAGCGTGGCCGCGACACTTGGCCTTTGCGTTGCTCGACGATCCTCCCAGCCATGGCAGCCAGAGAGAAAAGTGGCTGCGCACCTCGCCCCCTCCAACCTTCCTCTTCGTGAAAAGCGTTGGAGGAAAAAAGTTGTAGGGGGATCGAGTTAGCGGAGGACGTGTCTGTCCTTGGGAGAATCGGCCAATCTCAAACTTTTTCGACTTAAGTTCGAGATGCATCCCTCTTTGTTGCGTGTAACGTGCAAGAGTTGGAAATATGACTAGCGGAACTCCACACGAACAAGGTAAGCACTGCTCTCCATCGCTCAACGTCACGCGCTCCTTTTCTCATTTTAATTATTTCAATTTTTCTGTCGTGGCAACCCAACGAGATCGTCGTCAACCACGTTAATTTGCATAGGAATAAAGGTTAACACAGATATCAGATCAGACGAAACGACAAATTTTAAGGTGTCTCGAGAATTTCTTCAGCGTGGTGTCACTCGACCATGAGTTCGTGTATCTGATGTCTTTGGCTTATCTTTATGATCGTGTAGGGTTCTATCGGAAATAAACGATCGGATTTGCCTAATCATCTTTCCAGCTCTCTGTTCTATCTACAGCGATTCGCGAAATTATTCCAACACTCGTAGAAACTTTTTACGTACATGCTATACGAAACATCTTGAAGACTCATTAGTACTGTAACGAGACACGACTACTATCGTGGCTATATTGGTAAAATTTGAAACTGATCTGAAAAAGTAAGGTCGGTCTATAACGAAAGCGAATGAACACGTTATACGTTCGTCGTTATTCCGATAACGAATGTACGAGTTGAATTTTTATCGTATAATTGTATTCGTAATATATCTATATCGAGTTCCAAAGATGGAGATAAAATTTATTAAAAATTCCTTATTCACAGCTACGTTCACCTTCCACTGCGTTTTCACGTTCGACATGCTCCACGTTTAATTAAACGTGCCTGACGTGCTTTTCCTATCGCTTTTCGAATACGTGCTAGAAGCCTGATTTAGCCGTGTTCTCGAGGACCGACTTTAAAGCCCTTACGTGGCACCACCTCTCGCCTCAGTACGTAGTCCTTTCAAATTCTTCTTAGCGGTGGAAAGTGAGAAAATATTGTCGAGTAATCACGTTCCGAGGATAATGCGTTGTTGGAAACCACGGAACAGGCGGAAACGCGCACGATTAGTAAACGTGTAGAACCTTACTTCCACGTGATACGAGGATAACGTCGAGAACTGACATTTAACACGCAATAGTCTCTTACGCTGTTACGGTATTTCTATTACTCATTACCTGCAAATTCAAAGTTACACACGTAAATGAGTTAGGATGGTATAGCGCGTGGTTTAGACAACGAGGTGGTGACCTTAGCCCTCTAGCCTTTAAGGCTGGTTTAGTCAAGTAGCGAGTAAAGTCGGATTTACACAGTTTGATGATAACGGTGCCTTCATCCTCGTTTCATCCTCCAAAGTGAACAGTGTAAATTCGGCTTTACCAGCTACTTCACTAAACTACACGGCAGTGTCTGAACCAGCCTTTAGCCGATGTACGATTAACTCGTAACTAACTTTCGGAAAGTTAACAGGCGCAACTTGTTTTTCCAAACTATAATACGTCGCTTATTCGTTTAACCGTTTGTGAATCGTCTCGGTTGGATCGTGTTTGAAGAAAAAATCATCGGTAACGAGAAGGAACACTGGGTACTTGTTACATAAATTCCACGGTTATACAAACCGTTCGTTCCTCGACGTTGGTGTAAACGAGGATCTACCGTACTCTATCTACGATTATCTTTCGAAGGATTCGCCGGCGATGAAATTACGGTGAAAGGTAAACGATGCGTCGATGATACATAGAGAGGCCGCGAACGAAATTTTAACGATCGCCCGTTGAAGTCGTAGAGGAAAATTAGGGCAACGTGCTTGACCCAGGTTTGTTTTCGCGATGAGTTACGAAGGAATGGCAAAAGTTTAACGCGTTCAATGCGAATGTATCTGGTATAAGCGCGACGCGTGAAAAATTCCTCGCACGTGTCACGTTCGTTCCGAGTCTTTCTGCGAACAAAACGGCTCGACCTCGCGGAAACTTTAAAGTCACCCTTGTCGCGAACAATAAAAAGAACATAGGAAATGCTTCGCGCGCCATTCTGCGTAACACGCGTTTATCCGATTTAGTTGTAAATAACTGCGCAAAGAATCGCGACACAGAGTCGTAGAGAAAAATTGGTAGACACGTAGTGGAAACGGATATCAAGGAGCATGTCTCGTTAAATACGACTTGTTTACGTGAACGTGTTTATTTTTAATTATTTTAATAAATAAAACTGTTGAGGTTTCGTGCTTTATCCATGAAATAAAATGTTTTTGATTATTTGCACTTTTATCTTTATTTTATAATGCAATTCTTATATCGGGAGAAGCCAGCTCTTTGGATGTAAAAAATAACATACTTAACCCTTTAACCTACAACTATGGGCATAACCCGTATTAGAAGATCGGGCATAGCCCTATCGGGCACAGCCCCTGTCGGACATAGCCCCTGTCGGGCATAGCCCCTGTCGGACATAGCCCCTGTCGGACATAGCCCCAGTCGGGCATAGCCCGTATTAGATGATCGCGCATAGCCCGTATTAGGTGAACGGGCATGACCCGTGTTCGATGATCAGGCATAACCCGTATTAGGTGAACGGGCATGACCCGTATTAGGTGATCGAGCATAGCCCGTATTGGGTGAACGGGCATAACCCGTATTGGGTGAACGGGCATAACCCGTATTGGGTGAACGGGCACAACCCGTGTTTCTGAGTAATCTACTCCAGGTTTCTGCCAGAATCCCCGAGCTGCAAGCCTAACCTTATACTTATCTGGGTCCCTCTTTATTGCAAGCACCCACTTACAGTCTATAACGTTTCTGTTCAAGCGCCTTTGCACAATGTCCCACACATCTTTACTTTTTAGATTGTCTAACTCCTTCATTATTGCATCAGTCCACTTTTGAGCATCTGGCCCCCTCAGGGCTTCGTACACATGCACAGGTACACACATGCTTTGAGTTTTGCAAACGGTCGCAGTATGAGCGCAACTATCATATGTCTTTGGTTTATGTAATCTTGCCGGCCTCCTGGGCGCTATCGATGCACTCACAGCTTCCCCCGGATTATACTCACTCGTTAAATTGTCCATGAAGTAGTCAGTCTCCCCTTCATCGTTTTCGCCATCACTTTGTGTTTCGACGTCAGTCCGGTCAACTCCAAGATCCAAGTTCAATATCTTCTACGTCCCATATCCATTCTGAGGACCTCCTTTTTATATTGCTCGTCTCCATCTTAACACTCTTGTAGGGAAACGTATTCTCTTCGAACCTGACATGACAAGATATTATTACTTTCTTGGTCTTTGGCAGGTAAATCCTATAGCCTTTGACCTGCCTGTCGTATCCTACAAATATCCCCTCATCTGCCCTGCTATCGAATTTTCCTCCGCTTGGACTTCTCAGGTACCAGACTCTGCACCCAAATACTCTCAGTCTGTTGATCTCTCCTTGGATGTCACATCCCTTACCTTTCCATAATTCCAGTGGGATCTTGTCTCCGATAGCATAGGTTGGGATGGGCATAGGTTTCTTATGTGACATGCCGTCTTCACAGCTTCCCCGCACAGATAGTCAGGGAGCCCCGATTGGATGAGTAAACATCTAGACATCTCAACCAGGGTTCTGTTTGCTCCTAGGGGCGGTCTTCCTGTGTAAGGTGCCTTTCTCTTTCAGGTAATTTTCAAAATATTCCCCTGTGTACTCACCTCCGTTTGGTGGGCACTTATTTTCGACTGGCGTAAAGCCTCCACTTCCATCTGGTATTCTTTGAAACACTTAAGTACTTCGCTCTTCCTACTGATGATCCTAACGTACATGAAACGAGAGAAATCATCGATGAAAGTCACAAAATAATTACCTCCGCTTAGCGACTTTCATTGAATTCTGCCATTAATGTGAACAATCTCTAAAGGGCGCTGACACATGTAGTGAGCTGTCCTCGGAAATGGTACTTTGATCATTTTTCCTTTCACGCAGACTCCGCATAGTTCCTCGTGTTTCCTCGAGTCCTTCTTCACGCTACTTACAGGGATTTTCCTCATCGCATTTCCATGCAGGTGACCTAATCTCTCATGCCATGATACTTTTATATGCCTTCGCTTCAATGACCTCAATGTCTTCGTCATCTTTCACAGGCTTCTCCTGATCGTTCTCCACGAAAACGTTTGCTACATGCCTTTCAGATGGTATTGTCTCTAGGTAGTACACATTGTCTCCTACCTTTGAATCGAATATAACGTCCCCATCATCATGTGTACCGATAGCCTCATCCTTCGTACACACTGTGGTGACACATTTCATTGCTGTTGAGGTTATTCGATGTGTAAACAGAGAAAACTCGTGGATAAATTGTAAGGCAGAAAATTCTTCGTCGCAGTCTTTTGTCTACATGCTGTCGATGGCTTCAGTGCTTGAGAAAACTAAAAAGACCATATGTAGAGTTTTCTTATAAGTGGTAACCACTTCAACAAAAACAATAGTATCGTTTCGATCGAATTTCGTCGATGCCCACTTCTATCGTCTATCCACTTGTTTCTATAGCAGACTGTATAACGATTCGTACGATTTTAACGAACATTCCGATTACTGACTCCGTTGATCTAAACGCGCGTCTGTATTCCAAATCCTTCGCGTTTTGAAATTTCTGAAATTATTTATTGTTGATTGCTTGCCTTGCCTTGCTTACGTTTCTATGGCGTGCATTTTATTTCATAGAAAATGTCTAGATGAAACGTTTTACCTTATTTCGCGTGTTATTCTCAACGTATGTGTAAAACAATAATGTATAGAACAATGGAATAATAGTGTTTAGAAAAACGTGGCTTCAAAGCAATATCGAGTTCATTAGTACGGGTGAAATGCGCGAGAAGAAGCAAATTAGCTCTGTTTGTTAGCGAACACGTCTGGGTTTGAGAGAAACGGAGAAAGAGAGAGACCGGTGGGAGGCGCAAAATTACGCGATTCAAATTCTGTTCTGCAGAGTATGCGTGTCTACAGCACCGTGTATTTTCTCTGAAATTGCTGCGATCTTTTGCGCATTAACCGCAAAAAGAACTCGTACGTTCCTACCCTGTAAAAGTGTTGCGAGGATCGTATTTTGTGTCGTCACGTTATTTCATCGTTACCTTTCCAGTCTCGTTCAATATCAGATTCGTTTTACTGTTCTGCATTTACGTTGTTACACAGAGTGACCTCGAGCAGAAAAATCGTCGCATTCGAACTAAAACCTTCTATTTTTCTTACGTTTCTTTTTCTTTTTTTCTCAGAAAAGATTATAAAGATAGAAATCGGAAGATATTATCGAAATATACGCGAGCGTCGTTAGATTTAAATCTTTTCGATCTCGATCGGATTTGAAACTTTCGTAAAACGTACACATTTGTGGTCCTCGGATTTTCGATCGTGTTTTCAGTAGTACGTTGCGCTTTATTCCGACGTCGTGAACATTCCAATTCGCTTTTCCAGGGCAGACCTGAAGGAGAAACGGTTTCAGGTGAAACAGGTTTCAGTAGTACGGTACGCTTTGTTTCGACGTTTCGTGAACGGCGGCAATTCGTTTCTTCGCGGGGTAGACCTAAAAAAGAAACAGTTTCAGGGCAAACCTAAAAAAAGAACAGTTGCACCTGAAGAGAAGTGAACTGGAACGTTCACGAAACGTCGGAAGAATGCGCAACCTACTACTGAAACCCGAAGAACCGCGAGTACGTCGAGATAAAAACGATTGAGAAATGTTCGTTTCGCGCGACCTACGTTTTACGCGACACTGCGAAACGTCTGTTCAAATTATTTTCCTATAGAAATCATACGTTAACGATGAGTTTCGCCATACGCGTTTTCGATAGCCTTTAACCGAAACCCAACAGCTGCCAATCCGTTTTATTCGGAAATCTATATACAGGGTGCGACCGAATAACATGTACAAGCGGACACGAGTTGATTCCTTATGAAAAAATAAGAACAAAATATGGAATAGAATTTTTTCATTTAAGGCCTAGTTTACGAGAAAATCGACTTTGAAAATCTATAAAGTATAGTTGAACACACGCACCCTGTATATTTCTCCGATACTCGATTGCAGCCAGGTGTTGCTCGTAAAAGAATTCCAGATAGAACGTTCACGGATAGCTGGCAGACAAAGGAAGGTATTTCGAGAAGTTCAATGTCATCTTGGAGAACGTATTGTCTCATAGTTATCATTTTTATAGCCTCGCTTGACCTAGGTTCTCGCACAACGAACGATGAATCGAGGGTGCACTCGATAATGACAACGGTGACCTGAAAATTGTGTCAAGAATACTCGATCGCGACACTGAAGCAACGAAGGCGCGTGCCACTTCGAAGGGTACGAAGAAACAATTTTAAAACGTAAGAATAACCTTCGATCTTGAGTCGTCGGAATCGATAACACGCCAACTATTATTCCGCTGAACTCGCGACGTATTCCCGACGCGGTGACATATTTTCGTGAATTTTTTTTTCCTTCTCCACAGATCGAAAGATTATTTTTAAGAGGTTGCTGCTCGCGTTACGATTGTTTCGCCGAGTTGTTACAGGCCGATTACGAGCTGGTAACTTTAAATAAATAAAGCTGGATAACGTATACGGCGAACTATATATTTTACGAGCCATTTTCTCGAATATTCCAACAAATAGTAATTTCTTTTGTCTTCATTGTTCGGTACGTTGCGCTGTTTTTATAGGTTTCACGATAAGTATACAGCAAAGTCTCGAGTAAAAAGTTCTCGATAATCTTGAGGAAACAGCAGCGAGTTCGCAACCTTGTATTTTTGATTACCATGACTATAAAGCATCGTATCCTTAGTAGATCTTTCGCGAGAGGTGTTACTTATCTTGGAAGATTTTTCGTACTTGATATGCAGGTTACATTTATTCAAAGACATTTCGTTCTTCGAATTAACATTTCTGTTACGTCGGGCGACACTCTACCTAGACCAGGCCAGACGGGAACCAGATGTCCGCTCATCCTTACTGCGTATCCTCGATAGTCTTAAGGACCCATGATAAATCTCAGTAATTTGCTAGCTAAGGTCCTTCAGACGGAACAAATATCTTTGTTTCTAAATCATTTTCTAAAGATTATTGTCTACTACGGCTTGACACGGGAAAGTTAGTTTTTCTCACGTACGATGCTTCCCATTAACAACTTTCTATCGAGGGCGGCTAAGACCCTTCCTAGCCCACCAACCTTCGTTTATCCAATCAGAAACAATGTATACTGTTCTCACTTTCCTGACCAAAAATGTCATGAACAAATCCGATGGTGCCGTACGCTAGACACACCCATCGCTAGCTTTCCCCCGACACAGCATCGGCACTGTAACTTACTTATTCTTCGTCGTTAGAACAGTGAACAAGTCATTACCGTGTCAACAGTGTACCTCATAAGTGTTAGAAATATAACTTTTATAACCCTGTTAATAGCAACGTTATAGTTACTCCTCTCCTCTCCACTCCTCTTGTCTTGACGGAAATCAGGGGATCGATCAACTCGTGATGTCGATTATTATAATCGTAACGGGAATTTACGACTCTCGTTGACGTGTTCCCTGGCGATTGCGTCTCCCCGCTATTGGTCGAAAAAACAATTTCTTATCCTTTTTATAGGAATTTCGTATAGAAAATAGGAATTTATTTCATTTTCGGCGTTAGTGGGCAAATGATATTTCATAAAAGGACGGTCATTGAAAATTTTATCTGCAGACCTGAAGTTTTCTCAAGTTACGATAACATTTATCCGCGGGAACGTTACTTTCCAGACAAATGCTTGCTTATCTTGGTAATACCCGCTCTCCATTGGTCCAGCATATAAGTTGACCCTTCGATAAAAGAAGATAAATTTCAACCTGCTATCAAGATCCCAGCTTTATAATCGTGAGCAAATTGTAAACGATTTAGCGACATACACCATTCTCTGGTTGACATTTTGTTCGAGCAAAGAATAATAAAATTGACGTTCCGCTTCTTTCTTTTTTGAAATCATTCGCGTTACGTTTACACTTAACACGTTGACTACCAACGATGGTTATCGATGACGAGTCTCATTTGTATTCAATTTTTTAGAACGATTAAAAGAAGATAAATTCTTTACAGTGAAGAAACTTCGTCGATGTTTTAAATAACTTTGTTAGAAAAATGTGCGCAAATACAATATGATATTTTACAAAAGTTAAAGATAATATTATGGCGTGGTATATTTGAATGTATCGCGGCACCGGCAGATATATAAAATTCGTCCGTGTCGACCAGCAAAAATACGGTCGGCGAAAATTAGAATATCTAGAAAATATCGTTCACGGTCATTTTCGTGAAAATATTCGAGAAATTGAAGAAAAGATTAATTAAGTATATGTATATATGACATAGAAGATAGAGCACGAAAAGCGTACATAGAAAGATGAGATTCAGCCATATATTTTGAAAAGTTTGAAAAGCCGTGTTTCCATAGATATGTACAACGTGGCTGGAAGTTTCTTCGAAATTATCGATCCGATTCGACGTAGATCGGCCGTGGATAGCAAAACTTTCCACAAATTTCGCGTGTTCCGGGCACATCGAACATTACGGCTTTAAAGTAGCTATTCAAACCCTGGAAAACGATCGAACCGTTCTCGTCGAGCCGAACTCTTTTTGCTTTCGCTTGTACGGCGCGCTAAAAAGTAACTTTCGTTGTGGAACCAGTGCGGTTTCACGCAAGGCCGTGGCGGTGCTTCTTCCAACGAGCAGCGCCAGTTTTCACCATTTCAAATAAGGAAAAGAGCGAAACGTTTTAACACGATACACATTAACTGCTGTATCGAGTTTCATTCGTTCGAAATCTCCTCTGTAACCAAAGAAGAACTTGAATATTAGGTCGTTCTGAAACTTCCTGGTGGTTTAGTTTCGAAACAACCTGGCTCCTTTAAAGTGGAACGTTACCATCGAAGGAAGATATAATAAATTTCGATCTGCTACGATCGGTCTAACCTTGTAATCCATGCTTACGGAATATTCGTCTCTACGATTCTCTCGTCGACATCTTATTCGAGTAAAATTCAAAAGTACGAGCTGGCGCGTATTCCGGATTTTTAGCTTTCTAACAGCACGTTTCGCGAACGTTTCGGCGCGTTTCTACGGGGCACAACTCGCTGGACAGATGGTACGTTTACCGAGAAACGATTCTGAAATTTTTACAGGAACGCTCGTTCATTTAGAAAATGTGAGATTAGAGATTGCGAAGGGTGGGAAAATGCTATTTCGAGCTTGATGTATTATCGATACGACTGACATAGAACGTTTCGGCGACGTGCTATTGAAAACACGAACGAAAGTCCGAGAAACCACAAATATACCGCATTATGTATTTATGGTAATTATATTTAGCGTGCACGATTTTAATAGACTTTAGATGGAAATTAAGTTGGTTATACTTGGTAAATTGGAATAAATAATAGAAATTCCCTAGACGAAGTAAGAGACGCCCGTGTGATATTAACAATCACTGGCAATTGCTCCTTAATTAATTCATATTCTACTAATTACGTATATTTCGTTCGAATGGAACCTGTCTACTTTGATAATGGACTTGTTATTTTCAATTACTACGTTATTAACTGCTAGCAATTAGTACGATGCAAATATTAATCGATATACGTTGTTGATAAAATTTAGACGAACGATATTTCTCGATTAAATAATACAATACCTGCGCTGCCTTTATTATAATTGAAGTTTCGATTTATTTATTTATAGCTAGTCGATATCCTGTCAGTTGCTTCGTCAAACATTTTCAACCTACAAAATCTGCTATTACTTGATTGAAGTTCGTAATTATCCGTTTACGGTTAATTGATATCGTGTCGATTGTTGCGTTGAATATTTCCAATCTACAGAAACTGCCGTTACTTTCGTATACGTTCGATGGAATTATCCTGATTGGCCGAAGAATCGCGTGGGTCTAAAAAATTGCAAAGATAGACTTGCTCTTTAAAAAGTTTAAGATAGAACTATGCAAATGTCGATCGATCGATCAGATTTAAACGAACGGGGTTTCTCAATTTTTGGAAAGCTGCGACGAAAGGCGGATCGGTGGAAGGACGAAAGTTTAGACAGCGATTGGAACGTACGAAAGAAGAAAAAGTTGCGCCGTGAGTTTCGCGTGCTCGAGGCGCATCGCGCGAGTAACGTTCCGTGGCCGAGCGTTTAACACGTTGAAAAGCGGCGCGCACGATGAAACAAGCCGCATACATTAGCGATCGTTAGATAGCGTTTCCAGTTTAGGGTTTGAATAATGTTCCTGGAAACGTTCTTAAATCAAGCGAAATAAGAATAGCTCGAGAGCTTTTCCCTCGAGGCAGCACGATAGGCCAATTCCTTCGAGCCGAGAACTTCCCTTTTCAATTTCCTCGCGTCCCAATTTTTCATTAATTAGAACCGCTCCGGATGTTAATATCCGACGGGATATGAATTTTAATCTGTTTAATCAGATTGTCTCTTAATCGAAGACTCGGTATAATTACCGAATTCAAAGTTATTAAAAGTGGAACAATTTCAGTTGGGTTGGTTTTTGCAAATGTTAGCACGATATGAAAGGTGAAAAGATAGGGAGAAATAAAAAGATTACCATCTCTGCAAAATTTCGACAGGCACTTGCTGCTGTCGTTCGCTCACGTTCCACGATACTCGCGTGTTCTAACAATAATCGTTAGATTTCATTTATAATAATAATTGTTTGTTGATTGTAAGTTCTACCTGTTGTTCCTTTGTGATTAGGCACTCGTGAATCGGAGGAAATAATTGCTTTTATAAATAGTTGCGTTGGATCGTGAGTTTTGAAGGTGCTAAATGAGGTGTATTATTGCTCCACGTATAAAACGGAATAAAATAACGCGCGTTATTTGTTGCCGTTTATTTATGATAAATTGATTCGTTAAGTTGTAGAGTTGTGTGTAAATATCGCGTACACACGGAATACGTATGTTCGATAAGGTAGAGGAATAATTGTAATCTATTCAGAAGGTACAGCAGTATAACGCGTTATCGAGAATGGAAATAACAAGCGGCACGTTGTTGATGGAAAATAAAATAAGTAAAATGCGTAAGATTAGCCAGTGTATATGCTTTTCTCTCGTGTTCGTATTTTTCAAAAACTCCTACTTGAATCGTACGAGAAGTTCTTAGAATTACCGCGATGTTGTTAGGATATACACTCTTTGGCGATAAATATTTCAAAACAATGTGGCAAACTACGAACTTTAAGTATCGTAACGTTTTCAGTATCGTGCCGCGAGTTTTTCTAGAAAACAAACGACGCGTTTCCAGCTACGTTATATATGTATTAAATATTTCATGGAACGGAGCAACTCGTGTTACAAATTGTACGTACGCCGTTCATAGAGGGAGAAAGAAACGCGAGTACAAATACGCGAATAAAATATGGAAAGCTAAGTTTACCGTGAAAGAATAATCCGCTGCAATGGAGGATTATGTTCAAGGTAGCACTTACAACGATTAAAAACTAATACCAGGCTGCATTTACTCGACCTGCTGCTTTTCTCCAGGGTACTACGCGTTTATTTCAACAGACGTTACAACCTTCGAAAAAATGTCATTTATTACCAAGTAGTTGGAGAAAATTGAAGAACGTGTACCCTCTGCTAGACGAAACCGTGAAAACTTGTAAAAAGTCCGATCCAGAAATGAACGGCATGGGAGGCTTAAATTCCACGAGACTGCGTATCGTGGAGGGGTTGAAAAAATTCTCGTAAATTGCACGAAGATCGAAAGAAAGAGGAAACCCGTAATCATCTTCCCGCGGAAGTCGATTGATCCCGGAGGAAAAAACACGAGGGCGAATGTTGCGTGTTCTGTGTTGCATGTCGGGGATGATGGCAGCGGGAGGCGGTGAAAACCGACCTGATCGTGCCGGAGGAACCGTACGGCCTTTACAATACCGTCTGGAAACGGCCGTGGACGTTATGCAAGCGGAAGAATGTCGTGTGTTACATCGCCGAAACGATCGCACACCCACGCCCTACATCCTTGCTTTCATTCCACTGTGCATCATTAACCTCTCCGCTGTTCGATGTATCGATTCTGTTCTCGCGTTCTTCTTGTTTCCGAAGACCTTTCGTGACACAGGGTGAAACGGTTCTACGCGAGGAAAAATTCCAAGAAAATTCCTTTCTCGTTTCGTGTTGGAACGTGGTGCGAAAGATCGGTAGATCGAGAATGGAAAGCGTGTTTTTCGTATGTAAAAGACAGAGGCGCCTCTCTCGCGCAATAGCTACGGTTTATCGCTGTTTCGAGAACCTCGTCCACCGATTCATCGATCTCGCGATCTTAACTTATTTGCATCGAAGCGCGGATTATAACGCGCGCTGCGACTGCTTCTTTTCATTTCCATTTCAATCTAAATAATTCTTTTTTAAATAAATAATTTCCACTTTTTTCCTCTGTTATAAAAAATGTAAGATGCGATGTTTGCGAGGTAACACTGTCTACCGATCGTTTTGAACAGTAAATTTTCGATAAACTCCGTGAAGAATTCGGATGTCATTCACTGCACCTACGACCGACCAGTCCTCTTAAGTAGGGTCATGATGCAAATAAGTTAAATACATTTCATAAATAATTTCGCGAATACACCGCAAGATCGTGAAATAGCCGGTATTTTCAAGGGTCAAAGAGAAGTTTCACCCTCTTACAGCGAGTTTGGACAGTGAAAAGAAAAGAGATACATATATCGTCTACGTATCTTCAAAGTTTCATAATTTGTTGAATTTACGAGAGACCTTCCCTTGTAACTTTTATTTTATCGTCCAGACGCTTGCTACGCAAACTTTCGTTTTATAAACGTTTCGTAGTCTTGGTATGCATAAATACGATTAAAAAAATGCAACTCGCGTACTCGAAGAAATTCGAAAAATCCGAACAAGAGTTTGCGTATCGTCGGTGTTAACCCTCGTTAAACTGAATCGAAGAAAAGACAACGAGAAGCTGGGAATCAGAGGATAGTTTCGAAAGAATCGTCGCACGTTCCTTCGCATGATACGAACATCGATAAAGAAAGTTGGACAGGCATAACTCGCACCAGGTATCGATCATCATCGTGCTTGTTTGCAAACTGGCGCCGACACGACGATCGCTTAACGCCGCTTTCAGCTTGGAATTTTTCCTTCCGACTGGCCATTCCCGGTCGCGAATCTGTCATTTCCAAAACGAATCCTCCACAGGACAGATACGATTCTCAAAGAACTGGCTGTAGTTTGACAACTTTTCAAAAGCTCATTTTGCAAGGTTATTCTCAAAGTTACTCTCTTCACTCGTAACGTTTACCGGAGTTTCTTCCAACTAGGAAGTTAATTTTTCTATTACCAGGGGCTCGTTACGCGTCCGAATTTTCGAAGATATAATTTTTCCTCTGCAACGATGAAATAGCCGAGCGTGGCTCACACAGCGGGACAAAAGAATGGTTAAGATCCTTTTACCATCGAAAATGGTTTTATTCCATTGTAGGAGCCATTGATAGAACGCAGGGAAATCTACGGTCTCGTAGTGTTTACCAAAGAAAATAAAAGACACGCGAATATTGCAGTCGTGGAGAAGGGAATTTCTTTTTTCTTTCGATAGCGTCGATGTAAAAGCAAAGGATTCCCATTGAAAACACAGGAGTTTCTAATTATTTTTGTGGTTTTATTTTTACAGTTTCGCGTAAAAGCTCTCGTACTTTTTACAAATATTTCAACCAATCTGCACATTTACATAAATGTAAATTTGCGATCGAAACGAACAAATTTGTATTTTCATACGGAATCATTCGCTGATGTTTAAATCGCTAATTACACTCGTATCTCGTGTTTTATTCGCTCGGGCACGAGCATAAAGCGATGTTCTAAAAAAAAAAAAAAAAAAAAAGGAAAAAAAATAGCCGAGCGTGGCTCACACAGCGGGACAAAAGAATGGTTAAGATCCTTTTACCATCGAAAATGGTTTTATTCCATTGTAGGAGCCATTGATAGAACGCAGGGAAATCTACGGTCTCGTAGTGTTTACCAAAGAAAATAAAAGACACGCGAATATTGCAGTCGTGGAGAAGGGAATTTCTTTTTTCTTTCGATAGCGTCGATGTAAAAGCAAAGGATTCCCATTGAAAACACAGGAGTTTCTAATTATTTTTGTGGTTTTAT